TTGCTGCTGTTGTGTTTGTTGTTGTTGTTGTTGTTGTTGTTGTTGTTGTTGCTGTTGCTGTTGCTGTTGTTGTTGTTGAACATTATTACTTCTAAAGAATAATTATTGTTGGGGCCCCTGGTGCATGGCCCCCCCGCCGCGCCTCGGCCGCAGCCTCATTTTCATCATTTTCGTGAGGAAGTCTCAGTCAAAACGATGTCATCCAGATCCGGTTGTGTTGTTACGATCGGTTTTCCCTTGCAAAAAATAAGCTAAAGTGGGCATTTCTTGTTCTAACATAACCAAACTTCAAGAATCCCTTGCAAAAAAATAAGGTAAAGTGGACATTCGCGCGCGCAAGACGAAATCCTTGCAAAACCTTAGTTTTCGTAGCGATTTTAATATAAAAACATCAAAAAACCAATGGTTTTTTCAAACCAATGTCAACATTTCATCCCGCGCGCTCTTGCGGATTCGTAGGAAACCCAACACTTTTTAATCATTTCTGTCAAACGGGCTTTTGCGAGCAACTTCTTCGAACTTCTGCAACAACGGTTGCGCACCTGCCAGGGCCATCATCCCTGTCAAATAATACCATGCGGGACACATTCGTTTTTTCTTCGCGCGCGCACGCCGTCGTCGTCGGCCGCGGGGCCCTGAATAGTAGCCACGGTCGTCCGCATGCCACGAAGTGAAGTGTCCGAACGTCATAGGGCGGGAAGCTGGGTGTGGGTGGTGGCGAAGAGTCGTTTGGAAATTTGGTAGAGCTTGAACCGGCCCCCCCACAAAGTGGGGGTATTGCCCGCCTCCTATGAAAACCCTGGCACTGGTGAGAACGGTGTGTCCCCACGTGCTAGTAATTGTTGTTGTTGTTGTTGTTGTTGTTGTTGTTGTTGTTGTTGTTGTTGTTGTTCGTTGTTGTGGTTGTTGATGGTGTTGTTGTCGTCGTCGTTGCTGTTGTACTGTTTTTGTTGTTGTTGTCGTCGTCAAATCTGTAATGTTCTACAAGCCTAACTACTGTCGATCTCCCCCCTCAGGTGCACAATGTGCTTGTGCAGTTGAAATGCCCATCCCGGGGCTCGCACCCTGTAGTTTACAATAGAAAGCCTTGGATCTCCAAACTTCGCCCCTGGCCGCAGGTTTGCGACAACGACGGTTCCCGCCAGAGACTTACTCACAACTTATTGAAGAATCGCGCTCTCGCGCAGGACTTTTCCTCTCTGTTTCCAAGAACCGCCCTCTCGCGTGGGCCGCTTTCGCATTTTGTTCAAAGGCCGAGTCCTCGACACTCGGGAATCACGCTATCACGCCATCACCCTGGACATCCCCACGGTTGACTTAGGGATCGCGCTACCGCTCGAGACTTCCTCGCGATTCGCGCCGGACGGACGCTTCAGCGGCCCGCACGCCCGACCCGGCCGTCTGGGCACGCCCGTCCGACCCGCGCATTATAGGGTCCGCCCGCCCGACCCGCCCAAGTGGTTATCGGCTGCTTGTTTCCTGTTCCTCGGGCTCCTCCTGCCAATCCCTTTCGTGCTCCATCTTTCCCCCTCCCCCCCTGTCTGTTCCCTTATCCCTCCCTTCGCCTTGTTTTCTGGGTTGCCACCGCCTGATCCCGGGGCCCCGCCCGCTCCTGGCCGCGTGAGGCCCCGCCTGCTCCCGCCTCCTCTCTGTCAATCAAAGCTGCGCGCGTCCCGCGGAGCTTTTAGCGGAAGAGGCTCGCTCTCGCCCTGCAGATAAAAAATCTGGGCTGCGCCAGTTGCGCGTGGCAGGTGAAGGAAACGATCCCCACCCAGAGGGAACACGATCAAAGACGACGAGGGCGGGTTTCGAGGGTTTGGGATGTAGTGGTTGAGTGACACGCGGGCAAATAAAGCAAACAATATTAACATGATTGTTCTTGATGTTATCGCCGTCGTCGTCGTCGTCGCCCCCGCGGCCCACCCGCCACCCACCCCGCGACCCATCAACGACCCACCCGCGACCCACCAACGACCTACCCCGTCCCCGCCCCTTTTCACTTTTACCTGCAATTTCGGGGTGCTACGTAATGTAAAAAGTGGTCTTCCAAAATGTTTTTTCGGTATCGTTGATTTTCTTCGGGGTGTGGGCGGATGGATATGTCACAGCTTCCTGGGATCGTGGGTGGCGTTGCTTGGAATTGTGTTTGTCGACTGCAGCCTGAATTCATCGCTCGCCTTGCCCGAACTCTGGGTCGCAGCCGACGCGTTGCGGCGACCCTGAAAGATCGAATCGGTCAACGTCGCAACCGACTGAAAACCGGGCAAATCCAGCTGGTCTAAACCACGGCCTCCGTGAACGTTTAAATACTTGCGGGGGGGGGGAAGGCGACAGCGGAAACGAACCCCACGCTGGGCCATCCGCCTCCGTCGCCAATGTGTCGCACCTGGCGTTTTCCGCGCGTGTGGAATTCGTTATGCATCTACCCCCTTATTGTCATGAGTCGACGTATGGATTGGGATGGTCGCGGCGGGGCGATCCTTCGGGCCATCGGTAGTCTTTCCGTGACGGCTCACGTTTGCTTCAGGGTAAGCCCGTTGGAAAATCAAGCAGAGTATATACGGAGGCCTCCTGCGTTATCTGGAGGCAAACACAAAGCTGGCAAACATCAGCGCACATCAAAAACACATGATCCACGATGCTCGCGAGGCCCTGGAGCACGAGTATCAAGTCCAACAAATAAACTGCCTGCCCGACGAGTCGCGGCGCAAGCTACGTGGCGGGCTGGGCGCTTGAAAAAAACAGGGCCACACCGCAGACGTCGTCCCTAGAAGACCACCGATCTCGAACGGCATGAAGAAACACGGGCACGCCACCGACCAAGGGGCCCTCAGAACTCGTCCTGGAGGGGGGAAGGACCGCGCGAAGGCTTTGGCCAGTGACGAATTTGCTGAATATTTCGCGCTTCCCGGCGTCGGGGCCGCCTCCCCCCGCTCCTCGCCGCCGCCACCCAAGCCGCCTCCTCTGGGCCTCCTCTGCGCCTCCCTGATACCTCCTCATGTTATCATCGTCGCCCTCCTGCTGCGCCTCCTCCTCCTCCTCCTCCTCCTCCTCCTCCTCCTCCTCCTTTTCCTCCTCCCCCTCCTCCTCTACCTGGTCGCCCTCCTCCTCCCCCTCCTCCTCCTCCTCCTCGGTTTCCTCCTCCTCCTCCTCCTCATGGAGCGGCGTCGTTGGGCCGTCCTGTCCGCCGTGCTGGCGGTTTCCTCTCCGCGCGCGTCGGCCGCGCGCTTGGCCAGCACGGCGAAGGCGCGCCGCGTCTCGCCGCCCCAGTTCCCGCCGTGCGCCTCCACCACCATCGGGATGAAGGTGAGGTCGGAATCGCGGCAAGCCTGCGCTGCGCCCTGGTGCTGCCACTTGTGCTCCTAGTACCTGTCGAGGTCGGCGGCCAGGTTGGCGGCGGAATGCGCGATCAGGTCCGCGCGCAAGCCCGACATTACCGCGAAGTCCGGGGCGACTGGGAACTCGGCGCGCCACCGGGGGACGTGGACATCCGCGGGCCTGCGGCCGTCGTTGTCGAGTCCGTCGCCGTCTGGCTCCTCGGCGTTCAACCCCTCGCCAGGCGCCCGCGGCGACAGCAGTCCGGGCTCCAGCTCCGCCCCCGAGAAGCCGGCGGCCTGGGCGTCGAAGAGGATGCCGTTCCGCAGCTTGTTGTGGCGGCGCGTGCTGTCGCCGTGGCAGGCGCACGACAAAGCGCGGTCGCAATACACATCCATGACTTGTCTGCACGCTGGGCAAAATACCTCCTCGTCCACCAGCTGGACCCGGAGTTACAAAACGCACTCAAGGTTAAAGCGCTACTCGTCCATCAGCTGGACCCGGAACTACCGAATGGCACGTGCTTCAACATTACCGGATATACCTCATGTTGTTCAATCAAACCAAAATTTCTCACCATGCCATTTTCTTTCGTCACCATCATCGCCGCCGCCGTCGCCCGAGGAGGCATTGTTCCCTGCGGCGCCAAAGCTCAATAGCTGCACGGAGGGCTTTAGAGGCGAGTCGTGCAACTGAGCGGCAGTAGGCGTAGCCTGGGGATGGGCGGCTGACGTTACTGCTTTCGAATCTTCATACTGAACCATAACGCTGCGCTGTTTAGCAATCGCGCAGTCTTTTCTCGACTTGGGCAAAACACAGCCTCTCAAAGTAGTTCGCTTTGACAGCCAGTTCCTCTCCCAGGCCTTCTCAGCGCGTTCGACGCAGCACTGACGTTCGCTGACAAAGTGCTTCCAACAGGCTGGCTTTCAGCCACCAACCCTGGCCAGACCGAACAACAAAGGCAACCAAACAAATGAACTTTGACAACCCTTGAAACATCGACGACGATGACGGCGATGATGGAGACGACGACAGCGACCACGGCGACGGCGAATCCTGAAGAACTCTCGTCGCCACGGACGTGTTCGCCGCCGTCGCCGTCCTCGTGGTAGTCGTCGGTGTTTGCCGGCGTCGTCGCCACGACAAGGGCGTCATCGTCGTCGTTGCCGTCGTAGGCCACTTTGGTTGCCGTCGTCGTCGCCACAGCACGGGCGACACCGTCGCCGCCACGACACGGGCGACGTCGCCGTCCGTCGTTGCCTTCGTCGCCGACGCCGCCGCCGTTATCGTCCGTCGTCGCCGTCGTCCATCGTTGGCGTGGCGGCTGGGGAAACCGAAATGCAACGATGCCGCTGCTGCCTGGACCTCTCCCAGGGTGCGCTCTGACCAAAATCCAAAGCGAACCCAACCATTGCCACGAAGGCCTCTTGGGAGGCCCAAGAAGGCGAAAACGACGGAAAAGGTAGCTGCATCGGTACTTTTCCTCCTCTGAACCGTCGTCGTTATCGTCCATGGTCGGCGTGGTGGTGGTGGCGGTAGTGATGGTGGTGATAGTGGTGATAGTGGTGATAGTGGTGAAAGTGGTGGTGGTCGTCGTCGTCGTCCATCGTCGTCGTCGTCTTCGCCGGGTCGTCGTCATCGTCGTCGTCAGGTCGTCGTGGCCCCCTCCCCCCCTTGGGGCTCGCCAGCTGCAAGTGGCCGGCGGCGCGCCCCGCGCCGCCCCGGCGGGCGGGGGCCTCCGCGCCAGTGGCGGCGTGGCCTCTCCCGGGCACGGCGCGGGGCCCCGCCGGGTCTCTGAGGGGCCTCCCGTGAGCGGGGTCCGACGGAGACGAGGCCGGGACGAGATCTGCAGGGCGACGAGAGCTACACGCAGCTCTGCAGGGCGACGAGACTGACACGTCTCCTTGTAGGGCGACGAGATCGACACGTATCTCTGTAGGGCGATCTGTGCAGGGCGACGAGGTCACCACGTACACACTATCCCCTGGCCAGGCCAATCCTGAGCCCAGCAGCTGTGTGCACGCCCTCCTGGCCAGGCCAGGAGGGCGTGGCGTATACACAGCTGCAGGGTTCAGGATGGGCGTGGCCAGGACGATCCCTGTATCTATTTGACATCGACGGCCAAGGACCCCATCAGATGGGGCAAAAGGTGGAGAGGTCGACTGTGACCCCGCCCCCCGTGGGGTGGAGCCCCTCGCCGAGCGCCCTCCAGGAAGCACACCTGCGAGGCACGGCGAGAGGAGCGCCACGCGTGCCGCGCCCAGCTCGTCCAAGCGAGCCCCCGAGGTGGAGGCACCGCAGGCCTGGCAAATGCAAGTACAGCTCTCGCAACCCTGAGCCCAGCAGCTGAGCACACGCCCTCCAGGCCAAGCCAGGAGGGCGTGGCATGTACGCAACTGCCGGGATCAGGACGGGCGTGGCCAGGGAACCGTGCAGAAGATAGAAACCTCGGCGCCCTACTCTTGGAGGCCGAAGTTGGGATTTGTGGGGCGGTGGGCGACCAGTGAAAGCGGCAAAGGACGGGCCGCAGAGGCAAGGACACAAGGGTACCCTAGATGAAGGTTCGCGCCCTAGCGCGTTGCCTGCAAGACGAAGCCAGAACGATCTCTCAGATCCGGCGGCCCTAGGGAGGGTGTCTCGGGCGCCGCGACCTTCTCAGAGCATTCCGGAAGGCTCTGAGAGCGTTCCGGAACGCCCTGGAGCGGGTTTATCCTCGTCCTAGCCCCGTCCGACCAACCCTCCGGCCCCAAAGGTCCCGACCGTTTCCCAGGGGCTAATTAGGTTTCCGCCCCGGCATCATTTCTGTAACGGGCCTGGGAGGCCAACATTTAGGTCGGGCATGTCCCCCTCAGGCGGAATTTGGAAGAACAGTAAAAATATTCAAACATGGCCAAAAAATCAGAAAATCGTCCCTGGACTATCTTGTTGCCCATTTTTGAATATTCCTCCTGTAGAGGGGCATGCCCGACTTAAGCCAACATCGAGACAAACGTCAGGATCAGCAAATACCAAACCGCAGGAGATCTGGGACGGCGCGACGGGAGACCTCTCGAACGGCGTCCGAGCAGACTCTGGCGTCCAGGGCTGGAGGCTGCAGGAAGGGTACAGCGCCATCGTGCTGCCGTGCGGAGCGCTGAAGAACTTGCCAGCACTCGTAGAGGCCTCCTTAGTTCGGAAGCTGGGCGAGGGCTGGCAAATCCGTGGCTGCTGAAACGGTCTTCCCGGAAGAACCCCCCTCCCCCCCGGAATAAACCTCAGCGCGCTAAAGAATAAACAAGCTGCTTCCCAGAAAGAAAAAAACAATTTCCCGGAGCTCAGTTTTAGCAGCCACGGGTTTGCCAGCCTTCGCCCAGCTTCTGATTGATGGGGTCCGAGTGTAGTAGATGGGGTCGAAGGATCGCGCCGCATCGCCAACGCATCGCCGATGCATCGGCAATGCATCGGCGATGCATCAGCGACGTCGGCGACGCATCGGCGACGCCGGCGTGGGGAAACACGTTCTCCACATCGAGCCGCATCGTCGATGCATCGGCGATGCGGAGCGATCCTCCGACCCCATCTGGTCCGACCCCAGCTAGGAAGCCGAGAGCTCGGACGTCCATTCCCCACGCATCCTCCGGCTTCGTGCGCTGGTTTTTTCTGGCAGGGTGATCCAAGATGCTTCTCGGCTGTCCTCGCAGGATGATCCCAAAGGCCCCTCACGTCCGAGCGATGCCATGATATGAGGAACGCACGGGGCGTGTCCGGATCCCCGGCGAGCCTCGGCCACCCGGCTCCCCGACCTCGGGGACCTGCCCAAACGGGATCCGAGCCGGTGGGGTCGGAGGATCGCGCCGCCTCACCGAAGCTTCGCCGATGCATCGGCGATGCGCCGGCGACGTCGGCGATGCGTCGGCGATGCGTCGGCGCGGAGAGAATGGGGCTGCACATCGAGCCGCATGGCCGATGCATCGGCGGTGCGGCGCGATCCTCCGACCCCACTCTACTCCGACCTCGTCTGGGAGGCCCCCGAGTTTCTCGTCTGTGGCTCTCTGACGCTCCCTTGCCGGGGGAGCGCGCTCAGCGCCGCCCGGCGCCGCGTGCGGGAGGGCCTCCATGGGCAAAGATCGCTGGGTGGGCTGGTGGTGGCTGCAGGCCGACACCAGGTTGCCACTCAAGGACGCTCGCTCCTACCCATCGGTCGGAAAAAGTAGGTAGAAACATGAAGTAGGAAGGCGTTGACAAAAAGGTTGGGCTCTGTCCGCCCCTTAAGGAGGACGGGAAAGGTGCAACCAGTCGACTATTGAAGTAGAAAGGCGCTTAAAGCACTTATACTGGAATCTGGGAATCAAAAAAAATACTTTCAACGACCGATGGGTACCCCTCTCTAGCAGCCCTCGCCAAATCCGCACGCACCAGCCCGCCGCCGTGCTGCAGCCACGGAGTGGCAGTGCTGAGGACGGCGGCGACTCGTCGTAGCAGTGCGTCTTGATTCAGCCGCCCCCTTTTTGCGTACAAAAATGTGTTTTGGCGTGGCGAGGGTTGATACTGCTGGACCCTTTGGAACAAATCTCAATGGCATTTGGCCCGACCCGCTGGCAACCCGGAACCCACCCCAAAAGACAAATACAGCTGAAGACGAGGGTCCGAGATACCTTTAAGCTCGCCCAAGACGATTCCAAGATGGCCCAGAGACGGCCCAGGACGGCCTCAAGATGACCCAAAAGGCGTCCAAGAGGCCCATCACGAGGGCCTGAAAGGCTACTATCATTGTTGGTTTCTTATTTGTTGGTGTCCATCGGTGTTCGCGCTCTCGCATCCCCAAATTTCCGACAACCGAGATCAACACTGGATGCCTCTAAGATAACCCAAATACGGCCTAGTAATTTCCCAAGAGAACCCCAAGCCTGGCCAAGAGACTCCCAAGATGGCCCAAGAGACCTATTCGACTACGGCTCGAATAAAGTGTCCTGAAGACGCCCTCTGACAGCCCAGCAAGAGGCCCCTCAGGGCCCCCCCTGAGGGCACCTCTGGAAACAACCAGGAGGCCCCCCAGAAGGCCCCAGGAGACCCTCCAAGAAGCCTCCTTTTTCTCCTCCTCTTCCTCTTCCTCCACCTCCAACTTCTCCTCCAGATCCTCCTCCTTTGTCCCTCCCTCCCCCAGATGTTCCCCAAAAGGTTCCTACAACGGCATGCAGAGCATATGCAACCCAGTAGCTTTGCAGGGGTTGGACGAATGCTTGGCGGCATCACAGTTTTCACAGAAGGCAGAAGGGCTGTGGTGACTCGCGTCAGGCGTCTTCGATAATGAACATGGCCAGATCAGACATGGCTCGGTCTTGCGCGCTTGGTGGGGGAGGGGGCCCGCGCGCACCGCAATACCTCCCAATTTACGACACAGTCTGTTCCTTTTGACGAGCTGAGATTGTGATTCGTTTCAAACATCGGAGGGCGGCGCGAAAGGAGGTAGACACCTTCCTAGCAGGACGCTCTGCAATTGACTGGGAGTCTCTGTACATAGAAGAAGGGGCGTGTGCTGCTTGGCGAGAAAGGAATGAGTGGAATCCGGTGGCATGCAGCCCCTCCCGCCGCTCCCATGCTCAATAACTTCCACCTTCTCCTCCACATCATCACTGGAATTCTCGCAAGGTCCCTGGAAGTAGTTCCTCCTCCTACTCCTCATCCTCCCTCCTCCTACTCCTCCTCCTCCTCCTCCGCCTCCTCCTCCTCCTCCTCCTACTCCTCCTCCTACTCCTCCTCCTCCTCCTCCTCCAACTCTCCTCCTCATCCTCCTCCTCCTCCTCCCACCTCCTCCTCCTCCTCCTGCTCTGTTCCTCACCCTCCTTTCCTCCTCCTCCTCCTCCTCCTCCTCCTCCCTCCTCGTCCTCCTCCGCTCCTCTCCTCTCTCTCTCCTCTCTCCTCTCTCCTCTCCTCCTCTCCTCCTCCTCCTCTCCTCTTCCTCCTCCTCCTCCTCCTTTCCCTCCTCCTCCTCGTCCTCCTGCTCTTCCTCCTCCTCCTCCTCCTCCTCCTCCTCCTTCTCCCTTCCTCCTCCTCCTCCTCTTCCTACGTTTTCCTCCCTGTTCATCCTCGTCATTGTCTTCGGGGTCTCCCTCGAGCGTGAGCCCGATAATGGGACACGCCCGCGTCGACTTTTGCAAGGAAGTCTCGGGCGAGAGCCCTGGACTGGGACACGCCCGGTGCGCCCTGGCGCGCTCCGGCGCGCGCGTCAGATCCCCCGGTCTGACTTTCTCGCGCGCTTGGGGTCGACTTTGGAAGGACGAGCAAGAGCCCCAGCCTGGGACACGCCCGGTGCGCCCTGGTGCGCACTGGCAGATCTCAGGAAATTGTCCTTGGGGGCGCCGTGGGGCCTGACTTTCTCGCGCGCCGGGGGTCGACTTTGAGAGGATGTGCCGAGCGAGACCCCTGGACTGGGACACGCCCAGTGCGCCCCGGCGCGCGTCTCAAGGCCTCATTGGGGAGGCTCGGGGGGCCGGTTTTCTGAGGCTGTCCACACGAAGGCGCCAGTTTGGAATTCATCGACGGATTCCCTGGATTTCCTGGAAACGGAACAAAAAGGCCTCTGAGGGCCTCCTTGGGGTTCTCGGGGGGCCGGTTTTCCGAGGCTGTCCCACGCGAGGGCTATCCTGAACTACATGGGACCCAAATCATCCGATACTAGCGATTTAGGCGCTCGCCGTTTTTCGGCCGCGATCGGATACCAGATACTTCGGTCGCGTCGGACAGTTCCGAATAGGTGCCAATTTGGGAGGGTAAAATTCA